GGAATTGATTCGGATTATTGTAATATTTCTATGTTTTATGTATTTTTATGGATTCGATTTGGTGACCATTTTATTTTGGATTTGATTATATTTTAGTCTTATACTGATTCTTTTAGAAATTTTGGGCTTTTGTTGTGGATTCTGTATAATTGCCTTGTAAAAGATTTGATTCAAAAAATGATTTGTACAACATCTGTACATTAAAGAAAACGTGCGCAAATCTTTGGATTTAATTGGAACAGTGACTGCTTGTATAATATGGGCTTGCGCAAAAATTGTTAATTCAGCCCAGCTCATCATTGTTTTTGTTACGGCATGTGCACAACTAAGAAAATGGGCATGCGCCAATTCCATGCAGCCCAGCCTAACATTTTATCTCCTTACAGCAAAAAAATGTTTTCTCTTAACTCAGGCCCAATTGGCTTCTAACCCAATGCTAATTATTTAACTAAAAGCTTTTAATAAACAAATTTTCTTTAATGACTAATGAAATATTATTAAAAGAGTTTAACAACAACATATTTGCAAAAAGTTTGTCCGTACTAAAAAAATACTGCGTTTTTAACCAAGAAAGAAATATTTTTTTTTATTATTTATTAAAACAATTTTAGTATTAATGCTACCTTTTGACATGAGACATTAAAATCCAAGAAGACAAATGGGCTCAGCTTTACTAAATAAACAGCAAAATAATGTTTAAGCACAATAGGATGATTTTCAAAAATAGATTGAATGGGATACTTCAATGTTTTCAATTTCTTTGAGCCTGTAACTTGAAATTATACCCCCTTTTTGTTATTTAAAAGAAAACGAGCCAAATTCTGATGGGCTTTTAAATTGCAATTCAACCCCTTCTGATTTAGAAAGCCCCGCTTTCCTGAATTTAAGTACACCCCTAGTCCCGGATAAAGATGGGCCATCAGAAATTGCTATACCACCTTTAATTAAATATTCCTTCTACTTAAATCTTGAAAAATAAAATCATCGAGGTAAGACAAATTTGGGGTACGACAGCAGTGGCAAGGCCTTTTGGTGAAAAAGCAAAGGGTGTGGGTTCAACACCCACCCCTGGCAGTTTGTTTTGTTTTGCTTCCAACTTGTTGTTTTTCCTTAATTTCTTCCCTAACCCTATTTTCTAACCCTAATTATTTTAACCTTAATTTATTTTTTACAAACCTAAAAATAATTTTTTTACTAACCCTAATTAATTAGGTTTTAGTTCTTTCAATTAATTTAATTGACCTTTTTCTTATTAATTAAAATTAATTAGATTCTTAGGTTTATTTAATTAATTAAATCATTCTTTTTATAAAAAAATCACCAAAAACTTTTCTTTCCTTTTTTCCTCTTATTTTATTTTCTTAGATAAATTGTATAGGTTTTGCGAATGTAATAGCCTAGATTTCCCGCTTTCTTTTTCACTATTATGTAATTGATCCTAGATGTAATAGTTGTAGGTTTATTTTTTGCACCTCAATTTTGTATATTCCCCAAAGCCGTGTAATAGGTTTAGGTTTATTTTTTCTGCCTTTATCTGTTGTTGTTATATTCGTTATTACTGCTTAGTAAATAGGGTTTGCATGGAAAGACAAAAACCAAACGTTAGAAAACCCTAAATCCAAAGATAAATAATTGGGTACAACACACTTGCACACTTGCACCTTTAGGGTTGCCTCTCTTGTTGCCTTCGGAATAAACGGTCATGTCCCTCAAAAGTAGGGATGCTTTAGCAAAGACCCTCAAATAAAAGATCATAGTCTGTCGATGACCCTTCGAAGTTGCCTTTCGGAAAATGATCTAGTCCCTTACGAAATTGATAAAGCATCCTTACAACTTTCCTTCAATGACCATACGATGACCCTCTGCTTATCCCTTCACATCCAATAATAGGGATTCCTACTAACTAATGGTACGAATAACACTGTCTAAATGAGAAGGAAAAGTACAAGAATGACCTTGAGTAGGTAGAACTGTTAATCGCTTGCTCACAAATATTTTCAAAACAAAAAAATTTCATATGAACACTTTTAAAAATATTTTCAAAACACTTTGTATACATTCTTAAGGACCGATACAAGAGTTATTACAAAGTTCACCTTACATTGGCAATTTTCAAAATATTTTCAAACACACACAAAAAAGAAAATTTTCAAAATGAGCTAAGCGATTAAGATCACGTAGATAACTATGGATAAAAAGGGTGCTAACACCTTCCCTTTTCATAACCTACCCCCCGATCTCAAAATCTGTCAAGGTCTTTCATGTTCTTTTCACCCTTTCCTTATTGGATAAAATAAAAGTCGGTGGCGACTCTTGCTATCCGCAACATTTGCGATAAAATGTAAAAACAAGTCAGTTCTCCCACCGTATTACACCTAGTTAACGGTGAACCTGCATAAAATAGTTGTGTCCTTTTATCTTCATTGTATTTATAGCTATTATCATTTGAGTGCTAAGAATTTCTGTGAGTAGATTGTTAACTAGGTGAAATTTTGGTATGGGTCTTTGAATTGATACTATCAGATTAACTTGGTCCCTAGCTTGGTAGCCCCCAGAGTAGGTGCGAGTTAAAACAATCGGCTGAAAATCATCAAATAATGAAGTCGTCATCGACCGTCTTTTATCCCACATGAAGGGAAAGGTAAACATCGAGAAAACCTAAGAAGGGAGAACTCACGGTCTTGCAACTGAATTATTGGGTAAGGGAGTCTGTTATACGAGGGGAAGGTATTAGCACCCCCACACGCCCGTAATACTCTACGGTATCCACTCTTGTTGTATATCTTATGGGTGTGTTTAAACTATTCTTATTGTTTACTACTGAGAAGAATGCATGGAAACGGAAGGAGAAAAGAATGTAGGGAAAATAAAGTTGTACTCGCTTGGGCCTTACCCCAATGCCTACGTATCCTTTTTGAGGAATCAGAGTTACTGTAGTTCGGCTAACATGTTTTTGTTTGTTTTGTGTTTTTTATGGATGATTTTAATTCCTCCTTCTACCGCAGCTAGACCTTTGGAGACATACACGTTGGTAAAGAATTAAATTAATCATGTCCTTGCTGAAAGTGTTTTCGAGTTACGCCCTCGAGGCAAGATGCCACATTTGATTGGTTTGTGTCTTGTTAAGGAAAAGAAGTTTTAGTTTTAGATGCATATGGAAAAGGGGAAAAAAGAGTCTAAGGGAGACTAGCGTATTTCTAAACCTAAAGTTATCATACAATGGTGTCCCTACGTCAAGGATGAAAGGAAAATATCTACCTAATGTTAGCATTCATGGTTTGCAACCTAAGGTCTAACTTGCATCCGAAGGGAGTAAGCACGTCCTAAGGGAACATGGAATATACAAGGATGAAACAATCAAGCTCGAAAGAGCACACACATAAAATAGTAAGGAAAAGAAACAAAATGCTTTAGTCAAGGGGAGTGTATCACCCGAGACAAACAAGCGGGAGTGAGATGAAAAAACGAAAATGTGATGTCCAAAGAGACTAAATACCTAACCAATATATAGGAGATCAAGGTAGGAGACAGAAGACGATATGAACGATCACGGAGTATCATCATCGACCAATGCAAAATCCTGACAAAGCATGGGGATTTGATTGTAGAATCCTTCCCCACTTGATGAACTCGATACACAAGAGCAGGCACATCTTCGAAGCATCGTGGTGCGTCACGAGCTAAGGATGACACAAACGAAATTGTGGGGGTTGATTACTAACCCTCCCCGCTCGCCTCCTTTTGAGGACTTATCAATAAGGGATGGGGGAATAGTGCGGACACAAATGTAAACACTCCTGCAAAATACCTATTCGAAGGTAGGGTTTTAAACAAACCACACACAAGTAGCACACAATGGCAAACAATGCGGAATTTCCCTAAACGGGTCTTTAAATAAACCAATAGGGTTCCTGACATGATCAGCAACAGAGACCTCCATCATACATCTCTACCCTACTTCTCGTGGCACCAAAAAAGCAGTAAAGCCCTACTTCTCATGATCTCTAGAAAAGCAGTAAAGAAGTACGATAAAGTGCGAGTAAAAAGGTAGTAGCGGTGACTACCAAAAGCGAGCAAATCATCATGAGCGGACGAAAGCAATGGAGAAGCAGGGAGTACATGTCGAGTAAGCTTCACCAAGAAACAAACAAAGTCAGAAATAATATCCAACTAAGATAAAAGCAAACGCGTGTTGCAAATGCAATGCGTAATCAGAAGTTCCTGTGCAAAGTATCACAAAATATCACATGTATCAGGATAACATATAATATAATATAAATTTCTCAGGATGATGAGAAATAAGGCGTGTTGCATCGGAAGCGAGCATAAGCCGTATGCTTCGATCACATAACACTTTTTATGTTACATGATCGAAAGAATAAAAATGTACCTTGCATAATGAACAAACGCGTCAGAAATAACGAGGCACGATGGTACGAAGATATGGATAAAAACTAAAAGAAACAAAGTATTTCCATTATTAGTTTTTATGTAAGAAAATTTCTAAAAATTTAAAGAGTTAATTCCCAAAAAAAATCTAATATATTCTATTATTATTATTTGTTTCTATTATTCTGATTATCCTTTATTGTTTTTGTCATGAAAAACTACCAAAAATTAGTGAGTTAGTTCCTAAAAATCAATTAAAAAAACTAACAAACTTTGTTGATCTTATTACAATTTTATCATAAAAAATTAAAAATTAAAAATCTAAATCCTATCATTAAGTTTTTTATTAAATAATTTAAAAAGAAAATTTAAACTAAGAAAAGCAATTAGGAAGAGTCAGGGGATGAAAACTGCTTTTCAGGGGTATGCAGCAGCAGGGCGCTAGGCCCATTAGAATGAGGTCCATGAAATTTTTTTTGCACCAATGCTACTAGGCTGCAAAAAAGGTTCAGTCCAACAACACCATCACTTATTCATTTAGTTCGTTACTGGATAAAAAACCAAATGAAACACATAGAAACAATGCATTTGGAGTGTCTTTTAGGTTTAGAATGTTATGTTCGTTCAATTCCTTTGAGCCAACTTCTTCTTTGTTCAACAACGCTGCAACCAAAACTCACCATTCCAATCCATCTTCCCCGCTGGAACCGCCGACTAACACCACAAACAGCCCTACTTCAGCCTCATCTTTTCAAACCTCTACTTTGCTTGTATCAAGTCTAAAACCAATCGTCCAAATCCAAACAAAACTTAACTGAACATAGTCTGAAATTGAACCGAGACGCTTCATTGAATCAATCCATATGATCAGGCTTTTCATTTGGCAATATACAAGCTACACAACAGTATAAAGATTGATGCGAGAAAATGAAGAAAACGGCTTACCTACCAGAGCGATTCCAACGATTCTTCGACGTCTGCGAAATTATTGGAAACTCAGATATCCTCGCGTTTCTTCAGGTAACGAATTATGATTTCTTCATTTTCTGCAACATGTCTTCTTCCCCTTTCTTCTCTGAAATCCTATCCAACGATAGGTGTTGAGTTGTGGTTATTAATGCGAAGCGTGTGTGCTAGTGAGCGAAACAGAGAGTTGTTGATGCGGTTGTGATATTGTTATCACATTGATATGAATCATATAAAGATGAAGATGAAGGAATCAGTGTGCATCTAAGATGATGCTGATGTCGGGTGATGAAGTATATCGAAGGTTGAGGTATTGATCGGAGAAGATGACGATGAAAGGTTCTGAGTTTTTTTGTTGCTAAGAACGGTTGAAGCCGGAGGTTCTGAGGTGAAGGTGGATATTCAAAGAGACAAGATGAGAGGCAAGAAGAGTGAAGATCTCTTCGTGATTTGTCAAGAATCATCCCTGAATGAAGATTGAAGACCAACGACTTATACAATTTGTTGGAGTTTTTTACAGAGAAGTTAATCCCAGCCCTTGGATTTGACTTTTTGTTACATGATTGAATGGTGAGGATGGAAGAGAGAGAGGGCCAAAGAAGTGATCTCAAAAACTTCTGGTTATCTTTTCTTCAACTGATTTTTTTTATTCTACTATGTTCTTCTGTTATATATGAACTATGAATCTTCTCCCTCTCCTTTTCTATTATGATCTTTTTGGAAATCTGTTGCCAGTTTCTTTAGAGGCAGTAAGGAGTTTTTCTTTGTTCATTCAGATATGTTAACCGTTAGCTGGTTGAGAGTTGGTTAGAAAGTTCTGTTAGGGGACTGTTTTGGATCTGCTGAGAAATTGGTTAGAAAATTAGTTTTTTTTTGTTTTCTGTTTGAATGAGCTGGCAGGTGGCTAATTTGGTTAGGGGGTTGTTAGAGTTATGTTTTTTCTGTTATAGGTGGTTATGAAGTTTAGAAACTTCCAGTGAATTAGTTGATTGTTAGTTGTTTGCATATTTAACACTGTTAGTTAGTAAGGTTTTAAAGTTCTATAATTAGAAGGTGGTTAGAGTGGTTACATTGAAGTTTGGGGTTTCTATTTAAAGGTCATTTAGAAAATGTTATAGGTAGATGGAAGAGTTTTCTTATTTCTGTTTCTGACTATTAGTGCCTATTCTGATTTAATGATTTGTTATTGATAGTTAGAAGTGCAGGGAATTGGTTGGTTAAGTTATGAAGCTAACTTGGGTGAAAGGTCGAATTGGTAAGATTCGAACTCTACGAATTTAATTGTTTCTTTTTTTTTTTAATTTGCTCCAGATTTTTTGTTAGTGATTGGCACGGTTTGGTTAGCATGTAGTGAAAGTTTATGTTGGACAGTTCGTTGAGGCCAAAATGGTTAGTTAAAACTGTTAGGAAAATGGTAGCTAGTAGGTTATTTTGATTCGTGGAATTGTCGATGTTAGCGGTTAAGTGGAGGTTTGAAAGTTAGTTGTTGATGTTAATGAAAGTCAGTAATTAAAACTATTAAACATGTTAGGTTATGGGAAAAAAATTGATATTCAGTATAAGTACAATGATGTTAACAAATTGGTTTTAATAGTTAAGAGTTGGAAAAAGTTAGAAAATTTTGTTATGGTTAGTTAGGTAATGAAATCAGTTAGCTGGCTATTTTAGAAGGTTAGAATAATGAGGAATTAGTGAGAAACGGCTAGAAAATCATTTTTTGTTAGGAAAATTATAATTCTATCTGAATGTTGGTAGATAACATTAATTGTTTCTGATCTTTTCCTTGACGTATTACCGCAGGGTCCACACGGACAGTAAGTTGCAGTTTTTTCTGGTTTGTTTCAACTCCATGATTTTTCTGTGATTAATATGCAGGGCATGGTCGGTTTCAAGATTTGAAGTAACTTTATTGTTTGGCATATATTTGGTTCTTGATGCAGGGTAAGACTTAGGGTGGAGAGCAAGAACAACTCAAGACGGATTTATGGAGATCTTCTTAGGCTAAGCAAAAGTGAATGAAGGCATATAAAATCTGAGGGAGTAGCCTGAATGTAGATCTAGGTTCTTATGTTTTGCATGAACCAAGTTGTAATGGAATTTTGTACCATAGTATGTAATGAATGAGTAATCACATGAGGTTAATGTAATGAGACTGATCTTGCAATTGTCATGACCTTTCTCAAACAAATTTAAATTCCTCTCTAATTTTGTAATGTCCATCTTGGATATGAGTGTATATAGATCGCACCTCAAGTAACATTTTTAGTGTTCTCCCCTACTTTTTTAATGTGGACTCTTGAGACTTTGAATCAATCCATAGAAATTGTTGAAATCATGAATCGAAAATGACTATGAGCTTTTGGTTCCGCACACTTTGTAATGTTTTCCATGCCTGATCCATTTGATCTTTTATAAGAACTTGAACTGAACAACATGTCATGCTTGACTATTATCACAACCATACTTCCTTGTTTGAATTCCCTATCCTCAATGCCCTTAGTTCATACAATAACTTATACTTCAATCAATGAAGGAGATCCATAGGACAATGAGGTTCGCTAATGAACCACACTCCATGAAAATCTCTGGATCACCACCTATTTTAAGGAAATTAAACCTAACTTTAGTGGTAGTTGTAAATGTAAGAGGATGATCCTTAAGTATAATGGTGACAAGCTCAAGTATGATAAGATGTAAACCCTAATCTTTAGCTTCGTCTCATAAAAACTTACAACTTGATATTGAGAAGAAAAGAATAGCCTCGTAGCTTGATGATGATAAAGTCCATGAAATGAAAACCTAGCTTCAAACAAATGATCGATGGAGAAATCAATTGAAATAAGCTTGTGCGAAGATGAGAGCCTTAAAGCCATACAACAACCCTAATTCCATAATATCATTGATCCCATGCAAAATTATTGACCAATGATGCATGACGTGCAAAATGACCTAATGAAAATTATATACCTGAGAAAAGTGTAAGATGCCTAAGCCAGATAAAATCAAAAGGGTAGGACAAATTTGGGGTATTACACGAGTCACAAAACTGGGTTAACAATTTTGTGTGTTCTTTAATTTTTTGAACTGTGTTTATCATTCATATTGTTGATTGTGTCCACGTTCAGCAGAAGGTGTCTCAACATATTTTAGGACATCTTTGATCTGAAAACAAGAATTTCAAATAGTATTGTCCTTTCTCAACAAAATTAGTGTAGTGGAAGGAATATTTGATCTTGTATATTTCCTCACGCAAAACCTTTTTTATCTTATCTTCTAATCTTCAAATACTTCAGAATGTGTGTTAGTGAAGCATGTTTAGAAGAATCAAAATTATATGAGAGTCTTCAGAACCTTGTCTTTAGAGTCTTCTAAACCTTGTCTTTATAGTCTTCAGAACTTGATCATCATAGTATGTGGAGCACAGAACTTTAGAGCTTTATACTATTTGGAGGTTGTTTTATCAAAATCAAATTCATAAGCTATATGATGACCATTCTTCAGAAGTGTTGTTTTAAGAGCGTTATAGACGTGACATATCTTGTAAAGTGCACTTTGTATCTACTCAGAGCTAGAGTGTGTTGAGTTCATAAACTATTGACATCACATGTCACTTCTTCAGAGTCAGGAGCTGTTAGCATTCATCTATACACTAGATAAGATCATTATGGTTCAAAAAAATTCTATAAGAAACAATGTATTTTTATCATCAAAACTTAAGGCTAGGTGCACAACCAAATCTTGTTCTTGCAGAATGACCTGTAGTGTTCGTATATTTGCATATGCTTATGAACATAAAAAATAAGATGATGCCTTATCTAAGGCTAAAGGGAAGGCTATAATAGAAAAAGGCCATGACCAAAGTCCCCCCCAAAGAAGATTGTCAGTGACAAGGAGGCCGATGAGTTCTTGAAAATAATTAAGAAGAGTCGAATAGGGTGCTGGACTAAACCAACCACACCTCGTCACAGATATCAATAATTTCTCTACTCTTGAGCTCAGAAGAACATCGAGAGTCTTTAATGAAAGTCTCGGGCGCCACCCATGTGGCAAAGACATCACTGTGGACCAGCATGATTGAATTATGACCATTTTGACCTTAGGGGCATGCTTAGGCTTCAGTGATGAAGAATTACCCCTTCAAGGAAGATCCCACAATAAGTCTTTTCATATCAAAATCAAGTGTGAAAATACTCACCTATCCAAAGTTCTGATTGATACCAGGTCATACCTAAATGTAATGTCGAAGAGTACTCAAAGGAGGCTCATAATAGAAGGCATCATACTAAATCTAAGTTTAATGATGGTCAAAGAATTTGATGGTTCTCACTGGATGGTATTTGGAGAGGTGAATCTCTCTATAAAGTTCGATTTGTGCATATTGTGCATTCCCTTCCAGGTTATAGAGATAGAACATGCATACACTGTCTACTTAGAGGACCTTAGATCCATGCTTTCAGAGCAGTCACCTCGACTCTCCATCAAAAGCTAAAATTCATAGTCGAAGGAAAGTTAGTAGTGATTAACGGGGGGGATAAAGACATCTTTCTGAGTCATTTGGATTCATACCGGTATATTGGAGTTAAGGAGGGGATCATAGAGACGTGATTCCAGGCTCTATAAATTTCTATTGTGCACACTTATTCGGTGGAGAAAATTATTAAAAAAAACCTGAGACACCTATGACATATGGGAAGAACCTACAAGTTGATATAGAAGGTGGAAACCTAAAGGTTGAGGTAATCTCTTGAAAATTCCAGAAAAGAAGGGTCGTTTTGGTTTGGGATATCAATCATCAAGAGTTGTGAAGCCTATGAATAAGGATGAAGGTCAAATCCCTCTTATTCAAGAGATCTTCATGACTTTGGGATTTGAACATGGTGAACAAGTTTCTATGATATACAAAGAGGGGACATCAAACCTCGTATATGATTGTGCTCAAGGATAAAAACTCAATAATTGGACTGCTATGACGATTCCATAGATTTATTTCCTTTCAAAGTAGTTTTCCGTTTTTTAAATACCTATCTCTTATCGGACGCATAGAGGTAGCTTGTAAGGACCCCATTTGTTTTGAACTTTGTTTATCATTAATAAAACTTGTTTTGCATTCAATTAAGATCATTTTATTTTACTAACCTTATTTTTAAATGACAGTGCTTTTCTTTCATACACACTTACTACTCCACATTTTAAAAAATAAAGCATAATAAAATATGCAGATCCATATCTAAACCAATTGATAACGACACTGCTATAGTCCAATATGACTTTGATTTTATAATTAACCAAGCCGACAAGGATGGTGAGAAAGATTGTGAACTCCCTCAAGAGTTAGCAAGACTATTATAGCATGAGGCATATATCATACAACCGTATCAGGAATCAGTTAAGATTATCAATGTTGAAATTGAAGAGGGCAGAAAATAGGTCAATATAAGTTCTTCCATGGAAGAAGTGGTAAAAAAGAAGTCGATTGAGATCTTGCATGAATACACTGATGTGTTTGTTTGATCATACCAAGACATGCCTAGGTTGGATATAAATATCATTGTGCACAAGTTGTCTCTTAGAGATGAATGTCCGCCTGTTAAGAAGAAGAATAGAAGGACTAGACTAGATATGGCCCTCAAAATCCGAGAATAAGTACTCAAATAGCTCGACGCAGGTTTCTTAGCCATTGCAAAATATCCATAGTGGATTTCTAACATTGTTCCATTACCCAATAAAGATGGAAAAATACGCATGTGTTTAGACTATCGAGACTTGAATAAAGCAAGTTTGAAGGATAATTTACCACTATCTCACATTGATGTATTAGTGGACAACATGGCTCATTTCTCAGTATTCTCCTTTATGGATCGTTTCTCTAGGTATAACCATATCAAAATAGCGCCCGAAGACATGGAGAAGACTACATTCATGACTCCTTGGGAACTTTATGCTACAAGGAAATGCCCTTTACTCTAAAGAACGCAGGGGCAACATATCAACAAGTAATGGTTAATCTTTTCCATGACGTGATTCACAAAGAGATCAAAGTGTATGTTGATGATATTATTTCTAAATCTCAGACAAAAGAGGATCACATTGTCCATCTACAAAATTTGTTGCACGATTGAGAAAGTTCAAACTAAGGTTAAATCCCAACAAATGTACGTTCAGTGTAAGATCAGGAAAGCTACTAGGTTTCATTGTAAGTTAACATAGAATTGAAGTCGACCCTGACAAGGTAAAAGAAATACAAGAGATGCCAACTCCGAGGATAGAAAAAGAGTTTAGTGGTTTCCTAGGATGATTGAACTACATTACAAGGTTCATATCGCACCTCACAGCCGCCTGCGAACCTATATTCAAGCTGCTCAGGAAAGTTTAAGCGGTCAAGTTGTAGGAAGATTACCATGCGACCTTCAAAAAAAATAAAGCACTATTTACAAGAGCCGCCAATATTTATGCCACCTATTCCATGAAGATAACTCATTATGTACTTAACAACACTTGATAATTTTATGGACTTTGTATTGGGCCAACATGATGAAACATGTAGAAAAGAGCATGCAATCTACTACCTAAGCAAGAAGTTCACTAATTACAAGACCTAATATTCACTGCTCGAGAAGACTTATTGTGCACTTTTTTGGGCTACAAAACGTCCAAGACAATGCATGTTAAATCATACCACGTGGTTAATAGCAATGATGGACCCATTGAAATACATATTTGAAAAACTGGCTCTCATAGGTAGAATTTCCCGGTGGCAGACGTTGTTATCAGAATAAGACATCTAGTACATTACAAAAAAATCCATCAAGGGTATTGTGTTGGCAGATCACCTTGCTCACCAACTGATTGAAGAGTATTAGCCGATGAATTTTGATTTCACAGATGAAGACATCTTGGTCATTAGAGATTATGAGATCCCATGTCCTGATGAATGACCCAAACTAAGGGAACGATGGAGACTTATGTTTGATGGTACTTCAAATGCTCTAAGACATATAATTGGGGTAGTTCTGACATCTCAAAATAACTATCATATACCTTTCACTATGAGTTTGTGTTTTGACTGTACCAATAATATCGTTAAATATGAAGCTTGTATCCTAGGTTTAGAATTAGCTATTGACTTAAGGATTAAGATCCTTAAAGTATTTATATATTTAGCCCTGGTTATACACCAAGACATCGGTGATTAGGACACTCGACATCCTAAATTGGTTGCA